GATGAAAACTTTGTGTTTTCTCAGAAACAAGATAAAGTGAAGGAAATAACAGGAGGAAAGAGTAACCTGGAAGTTGGAAAGTGAACAGAGCATGACAGTCTGTGTAGCTGTCCTGCTCTAAGGCCAGTCTATTTGGTTTCTCTAGTGGTGTGATTCCCCTTATTACACTCTCAGTTACAAGGAAACTGCCAAGAGAAGGGACTCCAGTGAAATCTCACTCTTTCCTAGAGATGAGGCTCTGCATTTGTACAGCTCAAGGATGGCCTTTGTCTTGCTTCAGCAAATGCCACTCCATGGCTCTTACAAGTTTTCAGTGCTGAAGATAGTTATACTTAAAATTATTGGGAGCTGGAGGGGAGAAGAAATGAGGGGTGTGGAGTCCTGTTAAGTTTCTATAATCTGAACTAGTGACCACTGGTTGCTCCTAAGCATTAAACTTGAATATCAGAGAAAATGTAATTTTTTTACACTATAACTTGAAATATTAAGAGTTAAGATATCTTACCTATAGTTTTACAGGATACATCTGATTTTTTACCATTACAAAGAACCTGTCTTCACCTGAAGAATAATGGCTTTAAGAAGGCATGCAGTTTTTATTAAAAAAAAAAAGGTAAAAATAGAACATACATTGATTAAAAGTTATAAAATATTAATCACAGCTACTATTGAATAAATCCTAGCTAAACAAAAAGAAATAGGACTGTAGAATAATTATTCTTCTTCATTATAACCAAAGGACAGGCAGTTTGCAGTTAATCAAACAAATTCCACAATAGAAATTTTTGTGCAGACAAATCTTTCTACTGAAGATAATTCTGTTTATTCTATTTAAATAAAATATAGTTTTATTTTCAGTGATGACAAAATTTTACTATTATTTACTATTATTTTACCTTTCTTTCTTTCATTGCAACTTTAATTTTGAGATCGACAACTAATAAGTTATGTTGCTTTATTTGTCAAACTAAAACTCAATTTTCTCAGTTCTCTTTCCTTTTAGAAAACCTAATTGGTCCATCAGATGAAAATTCACATGCCCATTTCCTTCAGATACATTTAGTCTTCTGAAATATTTTTTTAAAAAACATCCCCTATTTTGACTATGCCACTTAAAATCCACCAAGTCACATATAATTTGGCATTTCCTTGTAATGCAAAACTAGAAGGAATTTCTTGCCTACTATGAAGGCAATAAGAAAAATATTAGCTGAAGTGCTGCTCAATAGTAAGAAGCAGTTTAAAATATTTCCACCTTAAATAAAGTATTAGTTTCAATGCACCTTTATTTCTACTTGTATGTAATTAGGAGTATTTCTGGAAGATGAGTTAAACACTTCACTAATTCCAACTCACAGAAAAGATGTTCACTAAATATCCACACTGACCTAATAGGACTTTCATAATAATAACCAAGCTGAAAACACAAATGGTATATTAATATATAAGAAGACTTGCCTACAATCTGCTGATACAAATATCTACTTCCAATTTCAAAGGGAGTGAGACATTAGATTTTAATCAAATAACAACTCTTATCAGTATAATTATAAATAATCTCACAAACTCCTGCTTCACAGGATAGTTGCTGAGAGGAAAAAAAAAGAAAAAAAAGAAAACAAACAAACAAACAAAAACCAGAAAATGGGCCACCAAAATGTCATTATGCAACACTGATGACAGTTTATCTTCTATGCTTCCTCCCACCACAGATTTTCATCACTAAGAAATGGAATTGTCCCCAGGAATAAAAAGGCTTATGAGACAGCAAGCAATTCAAACATGAACTCCACTCAGCATATCTCATGGGAATAATATTGATATCTCAGCACAGAAAACACTGATTGATATACTGCATGTCTTGAGGAGCATGGTCTATAAATTTCAAATATTTCAATTCCATTCTTTACAGAGTTATCTCATTTATGTGAGCATTTTTCTAATGCAACAGAGAAACCACTGTCTCCAGAAAAGAAGAAAAAAAAAATCTTAATTTTATGCTTTCAAATTAGGTGGGAAAAAAAGTTTCTCGCTGAAAATACACGAGCTGAAAACATTTTGGAAAATAAACAGTTAAACTAGTCACAGTACTAATTAGAAATGAGCAATAATTTGTAAAGATTCATAATTAGACACAGCTTAACCAAATCAGCCTTATGACACAGGGATGTCAATCAATGACTAATTAGAAATAGAATTTTCTTAAATGTCCTGAATATCTGTACAAAATGTGAAGAGAAAGCACAGAGAATCAGAATGTACTTAGTACAAGTAATAGTAGCCCAATAAGCTCCTTTGCAATAGGAGAATGCGGCAATTCGCATACCTAGTATTGCATAAATTTACTGAAACTGATCCACTCATTCCTCATCTGGATTTTTAATTGTCAGCAACAGCTAGAAGCAAATCCACCTTCCCTCAAAGGACGAGCCAATGAACCAACAGACAGCTACACACAGAACCTTCAGAACTCCTTAACCTTTTTTCCCGCTTTACTCACTGAGGTTTAGATAGTCACAATGTATATAAACAAAGCCCCTAAAGACAGACAACAGTCATACTAGCACGACTTGTAAAAACCACCACAGGAATCCTCCTAGAATCCTCATCGATATCCTCTCCAAAAACCACACCCACCCTGTGTTTGTGTGGTTTGAATGGTCTTAAAACAAGATATGAAAAAGGCACTAACATAGATTTTACATTGCTAAACTCAGCACAGAGTCACTAATATTCTAATCTTCAGACTTCCTTAACTGTCTGTATTGAAGGATAATGACACAGCTTCAGAACTACAAAGGGTAAGTTACTTTGGTCTTTTTTTTTTTAACTGCAGGATACCCAAATCCTGGTATTAGTTCACAGTGGCACACCAACATAGTAGTAATCACAGTACTTGTGGACAGCCGCTTAAACTAACGAGCTTCTCTAATACTTTGTATTTCTTCACCTCTTGCTGCTACTACCCAGGATAACATTTCCTCCTAGAGCCCTTTCAGAGAATGCCTGGATTTTAGAACAGTACCAAAAAAATCTGATACTGTTATACTACCAAACCACACTGTTCATATGTATCCGATCACACCTTTGTTGTTCAGTTTACGTAGGTGTTATTCCTATTCTCTGAAGAGGGAATTCAGAGCAGCAAAAACAGTTTTCAGAGATATTCTATTTAACTAAAAGGAACAGTATCACTGTTCTGATGCACATATATTAGCTACTGTCAAAATCACTACTTTTCAAGTAAGAAAAATAAGATGCCACAGTAGTTGAGGAGTCAATCATTTTAAAGTGCTGATCTGAAGAAAAAATCTCAAAGCACATTTTTGACTGGGATGTTTACATGTATATACATAGTAGGAGTAGGAACATACTGATGTTAGTGCACTCTTCTGTGTGGCCCATTGTATAGCAAAGTAGACCACAAAACAGCTTCATCTCTACAAGGAAGCACTTCCTGGAAAGGGTGTAGCCCCTAATGGAACTGCTGGTGCTTTGATGGCATATGGCAGGAAGAGTGACCATCTCTTAATTTTGTCCTTTCCACTGGAAGGCAGAAGCTCAGGAAAGTGTATCCTTTTATTCCACCTCCTATCATTTTGGTTGTGGTTTTTTGGTTTTGTTTTTTTTTTTTTTTTTTCATGTGGAGGCAGCTGTTACAGTTCCTGAACAATGAGTTAAACACTATATAGTTATTTTAGGGCATATACATCAGTTTGAGATGAAATCTTCTTAACTATACTTTACATTGTAGATCTGTCAATTCCAGATGCGTCACTGTAAAAAGTGGGGTAAGGCTTCAGAACTGCTGTGTGGATGCTTTACAGGTTATGGCTTACCTCCCTGAACACTACAAAACTAATTTTCACTTCCATTCCCTTCATGCAATAGTTTCGACTGAAATAAAGACTGCATGGCTCATTTTCATGACAAAGGCACAAAAAAGGTGTGTGCTCCTTTCTGCCTCCCCCCTTCCCCCAGCACTTGGCAAGCAATGCAAGTTCAGATATTATTTATTTTTTAAACGTTCAGCGTTCAGACGTTTTCCTTTCTATATGAGACGTTTCTCTTTTTAAATGAGAAAGTCTTTTGAAGGAACAGTATTTTGAAACAGCAGCACGTACTAAAAAACCACTGCAGCTCTTTGCTTGGCAAGGAAAGCTATAGGGGGGAAATGCTTAAGAATATTTGATGTTTACTCCAGCAACTATGGAACAGAACTTAATAAACCTTATAATTTAGACACAAGAGACTGGAGAAATGATAGTTTCTACAGTAGGTAGTTTTCTTGCCGTTATTTTTTTCCCAGGTATGTTCAAGAGCACCTGCATGCACTTCGCACTGCTTCCTTAAACGGGGGCTATTCTGAATTTGCCGTGCAGAAGGTAAAACAGTGCCTTCACCGCACACCACCAACACCAGTCCCCCACGCCCCCTCGCCCCCAAAGCCCCACTTTACTGATGCACGTACTACAGCGAGCACATCCACCACGGCAGTGGACACAGGTGTGGAAGCATCTCCGCACTGGCGACAAAGGACTATTGTGTTTGTGTCATGTCTCTCGGAGCCCCCGGAGGACTCCTGCTCCCACCGCACGTTTCCAGCCCGACGGGGAAAGCTCTTCCCCAGGGGAGGTGTGATGCTGGGCACGGCGTCCCGTCTCCCCAGCCCGCGACCGGGGCAACCCGACACCCTCTCCCCCCACACCGTCCACTGCCGGGCGGGCAGCGCCGTCCGCCGCGCACTCACAGCGCTGGGGGGGCCGGGGACAAGGCCAGGCGGGCGGGCGGTGGTGGAGGGTCCGCTGCGCCGCGTCCCGCCGGCTTCGCCCCCCGCAGCCCACTCACCGGGGGGCGCACGGCGGGGCAGGGCGGGCGCAGAACCGCGCCGCGGTCTCCTCTTCTCCCCCCCAGAGGCTCCCCGAAAGTTACTCTACCCTCACGGGGGCTCCCCGTGGCCGCCACCCCCGACGGCACCAGGGGGTTCCCCCACCGCTTACCTGGCGGCTGCCTGGGCGCTCCCTCACGGCGAGCGGCAGCGGGGCGCGCCGCAGTCGAGGCTGCCTCTGCCGCCACCTTCACAGCCCCCTCCCGAGGTGAGCGATGCGCGGGGCGGCGGCGGGGAGCGGACGGCGAGCCGTGACATTTAACCGGGCGTCAGCAGGGTCGTGCCGGCCCCTCGGCGCAGGCGGGGGTGCCTCTCCTCCCTGGCGGGCTGGGCGGCCGATCACCGCCCTCCTCTCCGCGGGCAGGCTGAGACGCAGGGCGAAGCCCAGTCCATCCCCGGAGACCCAGACGCAACGCGCTGCCCGAGCCGCTGGCGGCTCCTTTCCTCTCCTCCCGCCTGGCAGTCACCGCTGCCCCTTCCCTGCAGCGAGGGGCGAGAGACGCGGTAGCCGCAGCCGGGCGGCGGAGGCGAGGGCTGGGCTGGCTGCCTGCCCCTCGGTGGGGCCAGGCACCAGGGGGACAGCAGCGGGGCGCGGTGGCGGGCGAGCAGGCGAGGCGGCGGCTCCGGCAGCGCGGGGAGGCAGCGCCAGCTCGAGGTGAGGGGGGCGGGCGGTGGGGAGGGGAGGGGGGGCGCGTCTCTGTCAGAGGCGGAGCGGCTCCTTCCGCGCGGCGGCTCACACGCCGGCGAGTCCCGCCGAGGCAGCGGCGGTACCTCGGGGAGGCAGAGCGGTTCTCGGAGCGGCGGCCGTGCCACCCGCGTCCCGGTCGCCGGCGGGCTGCGGAGAGGTGCCGGCGGCCGTACCGCGGGCCGGCAGCCGGCCGGCCCTTATTAGCCCTCCCGCGCCGTGAGGAGGGGACGCGCGTGGTGCCCCCGCAACCCCGCGAGTCGCGGCGCCCCCGCCTCCCCGGCGCAGGCGGTGGCGCGGTCGATCCCCCCTCTTTCCACCCCTGCTCCTAGGAGCCCCGCCGCTTCCCGGGACGACCAGGGCGGCTCCGCGGCTCAGAGGTCGGGGCGCCGCCGCCCCCGCGGGGTGCCGCGGTTTAGGGGTGTGTCTCCCCCGGGAGCGGGGGAGGGGGGGGGGGGCGCGGAGGAGGCAAAAGCCCGCGCGGCTGGGCGGCCATTTCAGAAGCGGCGCGCGGGGAGGGCGCGGGCTCGCGGCCGGCGGGACCCGCGGCTCGCGCTGGGACCGTCCCGCGCCGCGCCCGACGGCGCCGCTCGGGGCAGCGCCGGCACCCTCCGGGCGAGGGGAGGGCACTCTCCGCAGGGTCGAGGGGGCGCCGGCTCCTTGGGGAGGCCCCGGCGGGCGAGCGCTGGGGTCTGGCGCGGCTCGGCGGCGGGCACGGGCCCGACAGGGCGGGTGGGACGGCTGCGGAGCGATGACCGTCGCCGTCGGCCTTGTGTTCTGCAGGTGGCCGCGCCCGAGGCCTCCTCGAGACCGTGCTGTGGAGAGGACGGTGGCCTTTGGCGGTGTGAGGGCGTCTCCAGCCTCTTCGCCGCTTGCTTGTCTTGCGCTTGCTGCTGGAAGAGCTGTTGCTGCCCCTGTTCCTCCCCGCACTTAGAGAAGTCAGTGCTGCATGAGTTTTGGAGCTCGATACCCCACTCTGTATTCTTTGTACTGTTTGAAATAGTTACGTTTAACACATTTTTTAACGGAGTACGTGGATTGTCAGGTTCGTATTGAGCAACTCGGGAGTAGCAATGCCAGGTCCCTAAGATGAGTCTTAGAATGATCTTTTATTTCTTTTTAATTTTTTTTACTGGCAGCAAATCATATCCCTTTCTGTAGAAAGCTGGCTGGAGGCTGTAATCCTCAAAAATCTGTGTTATAAAACCAATGAAATATTGGTACATTTAAGGAATTTCTCTTACCAATAGGAGCAGTGATTTGAAAGTCACAAACAACTGAATGATAATGGTGAGTTGTTTTTTGCTAATATAGCAGGGTGGGTGGAAAACATAATACATTCTTCAAAACCCAGACGTGTTGGAAGTGGATAATTTAGAATAAAGGGAGCTACCACAAATGAAACATAGTTCTTCATTCTTTTACCACCAGTGTTTTGTCCAGGGTTATGTGTTTTGTCTTTTTCTTTCAAGCGGTAGCCCTGGTAGCCATACTTCAGAGCTAAGAAAACGTTTATCTTCACAACAGAAGCTTTTCCCTTCAGCTTCAGTAGTCAGCTTCACTGGTTATTTCAGTGTTATCAAGACTCCTTCTCTGGCCTAAGCCACCCAAATAGGGAGGGTAAAACCAAAGAAGAGCAGCTAGCTGCTTTTAGCCACTGATAAATAAGTTAAAGAGCAGCATCTTGACCCTGGCTCTACCTCTGGTAATGCTGTAATACACATAATGCACTCATCAATGAAAGGAAGCACTGCTAATCCAGAATCATGTGCCAGACATCCACACAGGAGAACTATGGCTTATACTACATCATATGGAATGTCTTAGTATTGAAGAGAAACAGTAGGAAGGAATAATCCATAATAAAAGGATTGAGAGTTCCTGCAAAGTTTGGAGAAAAACCAGAAATAAACAATAACTGGTAAAACTATTGTCATATGATGTGGATTAAAAAGCAATTAACTCACTGACTTTTTCAAGTTACCCAATTTTTAGAAAGTGCTGACCACAAAATGCAACATTCCTCCTGGTCTTAAACTGAGTACCCAAATATGTTAATACTGGGTCCCAGCTGTTGAACTGCAGTTAATTTAAAAAAAAAAAAAAGCCCAGAAAACATTACTGTGATTTCTGTGGACTACTAGTAACACAAACAGATTGCTGTTCTGACGAAATTGCACCGATGTTTTCATCGCCATTGGAAATTTTATATTGCATATAGAAGTACCTAGAATTTGCAAGTAAAGTGTGGTTTCTCTGAAGGTTTATAAACAGCATGATAAAGTATTGCATCTCCTCCAAGAAGTGTACTGACAAGAAGAAATGGGAGTCTCTTCTGAATACTGCTACCTTATGACTGTTACTCTAAGTGGAAGATAAAGCAGGATAGCTATACATAAAGACTGAACTGCTACAGACTGAAAATAGAAACAGGAAAGTACTAAGGTTATCACTGTACCCTTCAAAGTTGTTTCTGAAGTAAGGAGATGCTACAAGGTAATATGAAAAAAATTAGACATTGAAATTCAGTCTCTAGAGAATGGATCACCAAAGGGAACTCCTTCAAACAATGAAACAACAGAAAACTCCTGCATCTCCTCAGTTGTCCTGACCAGTTCAATGTATTATACATATTTTTTGAATCTCAAAAGGTACTTCTGCAGTAAGATGCCAGAACTCAGTGCAGCTTGAGAAGCTTGCCGTTTTCTTTCTGTTGTAGTCATTTGGCTTTCAGAAGAGATAATGCAAAACAAGAAGTCAAATGTTTCCATACTGCTGGCCATTCAGTCTAGTCTCCATATAAAAATCAAAGCTGAGGAGAGCTTTTTTTCATCTTAGCTCTGGGGAATTATGTGCACACCACAATCTAAAAGCACTTTTAAAAGAGCCTATTAGCTCTTTAATTGTAAAGGCCCTCTGAAAGGGTGTTGTACTTCTATTTTGCCATAAAGTCTGGAAAAGGAAAGAGTAAGAAGATCACAACTATACTTTCTTTGTAATTAGCTCTGAAAATGCAGTTCCTATAGAAACAGAATGATTATGCATTTACCTTTAACTCTATTGTAAGTAAAGATTACAGTGCCTCTTCAAGTGAAATTAAATAATCTTCAAATCACTGATCATTTAACAAGAAATATTAAATGTATCAAAAATGCTTCAGCCATTTCTAATTGTCTTGAAAATATTTCCTTTAGTTATTGTACTAGGACTTAAAGGCTTCTGTCACAAAACTTCAAACACTGATGTCTCTATTGGGTTTGGCATGTACAATAGGCTTTTTCAGATTTATAAAAATGCTTAACCTCATGAACCTCTAAGAGTTGGGCTCACACTTGTGTTTTCTTTACCCCAGTATTTAGCATATTATTCGGCATCTAGGTAGGATGAAATCAATTTGGACCTTATCATTAGGTGTGTCTTATCTAGAAACAGAAATAAATATATTTTAAAAATTTTAAAATAAGGAAAACATGGTTTAGCATCCACATACATATATCAGTATGTGATTTAAAGTTTCAAAAAAAGTACTTTCAATGCTGACTGAACTCAAAACTTCAAATTTTAAACATTTTCAAAATATATTTTTTAAAAAATGCTGCTCATATAATAATTTACAATTTCTTGTGAAAAATTGTATTTTGAAAAATATTAACACTCCTTTTACAATATAAAATTATTCCCAACCCTGAAAGAGAACTCAAAAAATAAATTGGAAACCAACAATAGTTTTTTCATTACATACTTTTTACACTGCCACTAATTTTACTCAAGATCTAATATCTTCTTAGTTCGGCTTCTTTTACCCCTTCTATTTGAGAAGTGGTTTGAATGTAATTAAAAAATGTTCTTTTGAGCTAAAGTTGGTCAGTGGATTATAATGAGACTTTGCTTCATTTATTTAAGGCCCCTGCTTGCGGTGTCTCTCCGTGTAAGGTGGAACCTGCAAACAGTGATTAAATCTCTAAAATCGAAGGGCGGGCACCTTAGTGTTGTGTATCTCTTCAATTTTGAATGAGGTGCATTGCGCAGCAGGTGTTGGAGATGGGACTGTTGCCGTCCATGCCAAAGGTGATGTTCTTAGTTTTCTGAATAAGAAAAGGACCTGTGCTGGAAGTACAATTGCTGCATGAATAGGACCTGCATATTTGTGCCAAGATAGGTGTAATTTAGAGCTTAGTGATGTAAGATATGCTGTGTGAGGACCATCACAACCACATATGTGTGAGTTCAAATAATGATGTTTACCAAAATAATGCCATTTTGCAGTTCTGCTTAGCTTTTATGCATGCTGCAGTAACTCCCCAGTGGGAATCCATGAGTACTTCCTAACCATGCAAGTTTTCACTGTAGTAGATCATCCACACGCCCCAAACATCACCCACTGGGAAAGGAGGAAGATATATGTATATATCACTACTTACTGTTAATCAAGTCAGACCCAATAAATAGTCTGTTCTGCTTATTTCATCACAGAGGCAAATATTTCACTGTCTTATACTTCTAATCATCTGTGAGGTGTCCCTGTTATATTAAACAATATTCAGCAAGTGTGAATCATGTATTTAGAAACTACAAATCATACATTTTTTTTTTAAGTTTTTAGAGGACGCCAAATAATTCCGGATGAGAAGCAGTTCCTCTTAAATACCAGTAGGAAGTCTAGCAAAATAACTCTAATGCACATTTACTACACATTCAGTTCCCAAAAGGTGGCAGATAAACATTTTTTTTTCTTAAAAGCTGGAAAGGCCAGAATTACATGCACTGAAACAATACA